TTGCTATTATGTTTATCATACACAAATACTCGCCATGGAGCTACGAGTGACTTTAGTTCCCTGTTGAGTGCATCCTACCCTAAATGTTAATTATATATATCATTATATATTGGTATCAAACTGCCTGTTAAACTTTGAGTATGTTAAGTGTGAGTTTTTCAGATTTACCTTCCCAGCAACAATAAAAACTGGAAACTTCCACTTCAAAGATACAATACAATAAAATGGATTCTGGATTCTGGGTGGAAATCTATGATAACATGGTGATGGTTTTCCTCTTTCCCTTGAGCATGGCAGCTAGTGTGGAGAGGGAAGTATGGTGAATAAAACCAGTTTCTCTTTTTCTTTTTGACAAGCAGATGTAGCCATCTTGCTTGCTAAGCTTTTCTGCTAACATATATGTTTGCAAATTTGTACTTGTCACCTAGATAGATGGTGGTGATAACATAGCACCTGCAAACCTTACAGAGGGCCAGAGTTTCACACCTAAACTAAAGTTCACTCTGAGCAGTTCAGGATGTGGTATTGGAGCTGCTTTTGAGTTGAAAAGAGGTATAACAAACATCTGCTTGAATCTATTAATTTCATATGCAACCATTTCCTTACACGTCCATCCAGAGTCAATTACGGTTTGTTAACTTAGATACATTCAAACAAATGACTGTTTTAATTCAAACATTTTAAGTATAATATTTAAGGCTCACAATACTATTGATTTGTAAGTTTTGATACTGATTTCATATCAGTATTTTACCTATATAGTTATCACTTGTTACACACCAGAACTAAAGCCATTAATTAAACTGAATAATTCAATGGCTACGTGCCAGTCAATATGAAAAGTTGCATTTACTTAAGAGGAATCTGTTTCAGCCATTCATCCTAATGCCAGAAAAAGTATAGGAGGAATTCTGTGTCACACTCTTCTGATCGTACCATAAGCACAAGCATTTTGGATCACCAGATTAAATGATTCTCCGTCTTCTCTTCCCACAAGCTGTTTCAGAGGTTCTTCTGATGTCCCATTCCAGGGCCAATTATAGGGGTCACATAGGGGGAGAAGAGGGGGGAAGCGGAAGCCCTTGCGTAGGGCTGCTGTTCAAAGGACTCATTACAGTAGTACCTCAGATTAAGAACTTTATTCGTTCTGGAGGTCCCTTCTTAACCTGAAACTGTTCTTAACCTGAAGCACTACTTTAGCTAATGGGGCCTCCCGCTGCTGCCACCGCGCGATTTGAGACGTTTTGCCACCCCCACCCCCTCTTCTTGGTTCTGTGCAAACCCTTTCCAGGAGTTTTGATCTGTAAATTTACTCCCAAGTAAGCTTCAACAAGATTCCTTTCAATTTAATTTTTGTTTGATTACTCATTTTAGGAAATGGTAATTTTGTAGTCATTTTAGGCTCCATGTAAGGCAAAGAAATACTTTTTGCGAGTCTAAAGTAGAAAGTGCCCTCCCATTACAATCCTAATGCAGCCGGGCTGACCAGAGCTTGCCAGGGAACCACCTCTGGCAGGGAAAATGCTCACACACCCCTTACTTTCCTGTGTGTAGCTCATGTATGGTCTCTAAAATGCCTCAACCTTAGCTATTCAAACACTTTCAAAGTTCTGAAGGGATCATAGAATTGTAGAGTTGGAAGGGACCCAAAGATCATCTAGTCCCACCCCTCCTTCCGTCCCTCCAGAATTTCTTTCTCACACAGTAGCAAACCCACAGGGGATCCCATCTTAGGCTTCGCTGGGGAGAACCACGCAGCCTCTCCAGATTTTCCAACTCTCCCTGCATCACTTTGTAAATGAGCCTCCTTCAGCTTCATGGGTTTGCAGCTGACCTTCACTTTTTTCATCTTTCTCTCTGGTCCAAACCCAGACATGTTGGGAGGCTGGGGACCTCAATGCCCCCCCGGAGGCTTCAACTGGGGCAGAAGCCCTGGCTAGACCCCCAGCTGCAGCTCTGCATAATTGACACAGTGCACCCACACCATTTGAATGGCAATGTTCATCAACATTGGAGGGGGGCCCTCGAATATTTTATGGGGGGGGGTGAAGGAACCTTTTCCCCCAGGAATTGGCTCCAAAGGAAGGGAAGGAGGGAGGGTACTTTTCAAAAGCACCGCTGAAAGCTGAAATTCACTATGCAATTCTTCTAACAGTTCCTTCACACTGGCAGGATATCTTTTAGGATTTCTAGCCTTTTCAAGCATAAAAACAAACAATCCACAGTCTGAGTTCTGATCTTCTCTTTCCTTTGTTCTTATAGGCATTGTTAAGTGTCTGTTGTTTTGTGATGCAACAGTAAAAGTAATTCAAATGGCAAAGGACACTTCTACAAAAGTCTGATGAAGACAGACATCAAAATCGGACACCCAGACATTCTATTTACGGGGAGGGTACCTAATTTCTGGTGCCTGTCCCTAGCAAATCTGTATCTTTATTCCTGTTCTGCCTTTGGGAGAAAATTTGAAGATGCCCTTTTTAAAAAAAGTGTGCGTGCGTGTACACACACACACACACACATGCCTGCATGCACATGTTTCCCTATTTTGATCCCTTCACAAGACCTAGTCCATAAAACATTAAAAGCAATCCAAATATGTTTAAAAATCAAAATCAAAGATAAAAGATGAACACACAATCAAACTAAAAGCAGAAAAAGGACCCAAAAGAGCAGAGTTAAATATGTACTAAATAACAGTACTATAAACACTTACCTGGGAGAAAGAACCGTTGAACTCAATGGGGCTTACTTCTGAGTAGATATGAATTGATGTCATTGTAAAACAGCCGCAGAATTAAAAGCTTGCTGACAAAGATAACTCCTCAGCTGGTGGCAGAACAAAACGTTGCAGATTATGTTTTGATTTGCAGGCAGTTGAAGTACAACTGCATCCACTGCAACATTAAACATTTTAGTAAACTAAGTTTTTAAGGAAACAATAATGTTTCAGTGAGTAACATGTGTTTCTGAAGCCATGCAGAACAAGCTATTGCAGCATAAATGACAACAGTGAAGTTTTTAATGTCTGATGCTTTGTTATGTGTTTATATTTTGCTGGAAATCACCCAGAGTGGCTAGGGCAACCCAGTCAGATGGACAGCATATAAATAAAAAAATTATTATTATTATTATTAATGCTCAAGCAATTGCCCTCAGTTTGAGAATGGGGGTGGTATATGTACACAATTAAGATGTTAAACATTTGTCTAGTTCCAATGGTCTAGTAATCTGGGGGGGCATTTCACTCTAGCCTTTTTGTTGGTTCTGAATAAAGTTTACATCTGGCAGTGAGCTTTTTCCAGACCAGTAGAAACGAATTCAGTCGTTAACTGAAGGTATTTGCATGAACTTCTGGGTTCCCCCTCCATGTCCATAAATCAAATTTAAAAGTTAGACTGATTAGACTGTATGTCATATTACAAAAATCACTCCTTTCTCTATATATTGGTAAAGATTGCTTTGTCAGAAGTAATACATTCCAAACTAAAAGACATTTTTAGGCCCTTGTTGCACATTCCATAGGAGTGGGAGCGATTTGTGCACCCTCCCCCCCGCCCACCTGGAGTTTCATGCGAAGGGGGAGGGATGCCTCTCCCCCTCCCACGGGACTTGGGAAAAAGGGAGAGAGGAAGCTTATTTGTACTTTGTCGTTGAAATATAATGTCAAAAGAAGTAGGAAGGTAGTTCCATCTAGGCTTCCTCTCTTGCCACTTCTCTCGAATGATGACCTTGGACTTGAATGCACTTTCTAAGATTCTTTATCTTTCAGAGTTTAAGCAGTACAAAGCATTGTTTTCCTTACTTCAGTTTATAAGCCAATTTGTTCTTGGTGAATTCCATTTTGTGCTTTCCTGTTTCAGGGTGGTTATCTAGCATAAATGGAAATATTATTTCTGCTGCATACATCCCATGCCCTGCTCCCTCCAAAATTAAGAATGAATGAGAAAGAATGCTTCTTCCTTACCAAGAAACATTAGCAAGAACTACAAAAGCTTGTAACACAAATAGCTTCCTGAGTGCAAGGGTGCAGACGCTTCCCTTCTGAGAGGCAGGTGCCAATGATGGGCAGGTCCAGAGGGCAAAGCAATGACTGTAAACACACATTTCATGCAGCCCTCTCTGTCCTCCCTCCAGGAAGGCAGGAGGCATTGTCAGAGCTCAGGGACACATTCCAGCCAGGCAGAAACACTCAGGAGATGAAGCAGGCTTAAATGGGAGGTGTGATCAGGGGAGAAGGCTGAGGGTCGCATCCAGCCCACAGTCCTCCACCCATGCTTTAGGTGGGAGATAACAGATCTCCATATCTGATTTCATATGACTTCAGGTTACTGGCAGGTGAGTGTGGCTTGCCCAAAATGGTCTCCTGGACCAAATTCAGAGGTCTGGCAGGCCTAATTAGTCTCATAACCTGGAGGCTCTCTGCCACTGGCATAGAGACAATGACATGCTTCCCTTTCATAAGGACATAGACACCCCTTAAAGCTGCCACACCAATGTCATAACTGATAGTTGTACAGATGCAATGCAGCAACATCTGGTGTTGCACTTCATCAACAGCTCTTGCATCTCGTCCCTGTCTCCATTTTATTTTGCAAAACCATTAGAAACATAAGGGTGTTCTGATATTATCCCATAGCCCTGCTTTTAAAAAGCGTATAGTCATAAGAGTCTCCCCAAGCCCCTGTGACGTGTCTTGTAATCTTTCCCTCATTGTTATTTCGATGCAAAGGAAAAATTATTTGTGGCTACAGGTAAATGTATTTAAACCACCCTGTGTTGGCCTTTGTGGGTACTACACACTTCTGTAACATTTCGTTGCTGTATATTCATGGTGTGGGTGAATGACTGGTAGGGTAGTGATGAAGTGAGGTAGAGAAAAGGGAAATGAGCAAAGGTTAGAGGGTGGAATAACTTTTGTAGGCGTTTTCCTACTCTATTTTTGTAACTGCAAGGTGCCCTGGCAACACTGATTTAACCTGAAGCCTCTCTTCTTTCCACAGTGGGTAAACCTCACAAGTGCAACTACTGCGGACGGAGTTACAAGCAACGCAGCTCTTTGGAGGAGCACAAGGAACGCTGTCACAACTACCTTCAGAATGTCAGTATAGAGGCTGCTGGGCAAGTCATGAGTCACCATGGTGAGTGGAAGCCTCAGTCCTGAGTACTTCTGACAGCACTCCCTTTCCCCCCTTTTTGTGCTATTCCTAGCAATCCACAAAAGTGAAAGAATTGGGAACATGTACTTAAATAGACCCACGATGATCCAAACATTTAATATAAACTCAAGCCTAAAAAAAATAGTGTTACAAAGACTTGTTGTGAATTATGTTTATTGTTAATTTAGTGCAGTAAGTAGCTATGAAAAGGAAAGCTAGCTGCAATGGAGAGGGAAGGGGAAATACCCCAACAAGGTCAAAGGGGAGGATATAAATGAATTTATCCTGGTCGAGCTACTAGCCATAGGCACACATAATCTCTGAGGAAGCACATGGAGCTGCTCCATGTAATTTAAGTGAAATGTCTGGGCAGCCACTGCAGACAGAAACTCTGAACATTACAGTGCACATTAGGCCAGATCAGGGCAACTGCAAATTGATAAAAAGAATGGGACATTTTGAGGCATGTAACAAGTCATTCATGTGTCTTCAGATGTTAAACTACACAACAGTTAATCTTGCTTTTGGGATACTGAGAACAAATTTCCATCCATTATATCAGTGTCATCTTAGTAAATGTTGCCCCACCAAAACTTTTAATACTGTGGGCACTGCCCGCTGTGCCAGTTCAGAACATAAAGCATAATAGGAGGCTGACAATTTATAGGCAGCTACTGTAAAAGCAAGAGGGACGCGGGTGGCGCTGTGGGTAAAAGCCTCAGCGCCTAGGGCTTGCCGATCGAAAGGTCGGCGGTTCGAATCCCCGCGGCGGGGTGCGCTCCCGTTGCTCGGTCCCAGCGCCTGCCAACCTAGCAGTTCGAAAGCACCCCCGGGTGCAAGTAGATAAATAGGGACCGCTTACTAGCGGGAAGGTAAACGGCGTTTCCGTGTGCGGCTCTGGCTCGCCAGAGCAGTGATGTCACGCTGGCCACGTGACCCGGAAGTGTCTCCGGACAGCGCTGGCCCCCGGCCTCTTGTGTGAGATGGGCGCACAACCCCAGAGTCTGTCAAGACTGGCCCGTACGGGCAGGGGTACCTTTACCTTTTTACTGTAAAAGCACCCGTGAAATACTGCAAACGAGTCATCTGAATAGTGATGAACTGGCCTGGGCTGCTGATGGAAGTCTGTCCCATGGAATGCTATGAGCAGGGGTGAGGAGTGAGGGGTTGGACCTTTGCTGTAAGTTTGTACCCTGTGCTAATAATGCGTTAGACCTGATCACTCTGATGGTTTGGGCATCTTTCTTTTGGAATTCCTGTGTATCTGAACTCCTTTAAGTCCTCTGGCTCTGCAGGACATTTCCGAAGACTCAAATCAATGAGCCATGAACAGAAAATCTACTGTACCCACTAACTCCATTCAGACATAATACAAAACTGTGGCTTTGCAATAGAGAATGCACACAAGGGATCACATGCTCTCTCTTTCCTGCTTCTGTGCAAGTTCCTTTCCTCCTTGACCTGCTGACTGTCTTCTGCTAAGTATGGTTTGCTGTTATGTCCAAAACCGCAAACTGTGATTAGCACCTTTCTTGCAAACCATGGTTGAAAACACATGTCAAATTAGAGTTTCAAGTTGTGGCTTGGAGGCAAGGTTCTAATATTCTTCCAATATGGGCATCATGGCAAGTAAAGGTAAAGGTACCCCTGCCCGTACGTGTCCGACTCTGGGGTCGCGTGCCCATCTCGCTTAAGAGGCCGGGGGCCAGCGCTGTCCGGAGACACTTCCGGGTCACGTGGCCAGCGTGACAAGCTGCATCTGGTGAGCCAGCGCAGCACACGGAAACGCCGTTTACCTTCCCGCTAGTAAGCGGTCCCTATTTATCTACTTGCACTTAAGGGTGCTTTCGAACTGCTAGGTTGGCAGGCGCTGGGACCGAGCAACGGGAGCGCACCCCGCCGTGGGGATTCGAACCGCCAACCTGACGATCGGCAAGTCCTAGGCGCTGAGGTTTTACCCACAGCGCCACCCGCGTCCTGCATCATGGCAAACTAGTCAGCAAAAAGAAAGACCCCACCAAACCCAAGTGAAGGAGAGAGACATCCAAGAGGGAAGAGAGTGGGAAGCGCAGGTGCCCATTAGAAATGCTCCCAATTGCCAAACCATGGTTTAATGCTAAGTGTGAATTGAGCCACAGTAGCCAATGCTTTGGGGCAACAGTAGCCAGTCCATCAATTCCACTTCAATGAATAGGATTTAAGCTGTGAATCAGGCAACACAAGAATGGGAAAAAGTCACCCCTGCACAACAACTTTTTCTCTAGAACTATGAAGAAAACAGGAACCATAAGTCTGTCAGGAACTGTGGCAATCACAGTTAAATGAAATCAACTAGGCTTTAGTGCTATTTCAGTTTTGATTAATAAGCTAGTTGTGCTGCCCATAAAGATTTCTGGAGCCAGAATTCACAACCCACCATCACTGCTGCGCTGGATTCTGGGGGCCCTCTGAATGTTTGTGGAAAGTCTGATTTTGTTCTTCGTTTTTGTCTAAAAAGAGTTGCTGAGACTCTTAGCACTGCTGGAAATCACACATCTGCCCTGAAAGACCTTCTCTCTAGTCTTTGATGTGTGAGAGCTGGTTGTACCTGGATGATAGCTTTTCAGAGACTCAGAGGTCATATACTAACGGTAATTTCCTGCAGTACACAGTCATGTTTCCTCTCCTGCTATGGTTTCTAGTCAAACTGCTTTATTTATAAAGGCTTGTAATGATTCAGTCTATGATTCCCCTGGAAAGCCCCCAAAGCAGGAAAATCTGGAAGTATATTTATGTATGTTTCTGGTCCAGCTTTTGTGTGCTGCTATTGGATAGTGCCCATGAAACTTCTCCACCTCTCCAGCCTCAGAGCAGTTTATTAATTATTTTCAAGGGTTAATTTTAGGTTTTTGAAGCATTCAAAAGGATTAGTTCTTATTTGAAGAAGCCCTCATGTCACCCCCTCCCCTTTTAATGCATTTGCCTGGGGAAATGTGCTCAAGAGACATACTTGTTCTTTGGGCCATTGTGTTGGTACATCAGTCAATGAACTCTGGCCCCAGAAATTATTGGCTGGCATGCCTAACTTAAATCCTGAATTTAAAGTCTTCTTTCAATATTCTGTGTCTGCGGTTACGCCTGGGCAGGGGAAGAAATAGAGTAGCAGTGAACCTCTGTGTCCCACATTATGAACAGGACTGCTCAGAGCACTACAGACTCAGTCACTATCATTGTGGTTTTCTATTGGTTGTGTTTTATTATCTTGTTGTGCTATGTACTAGCATCCTCAAACATATGTGCATTACACATTGCTCGATTGCATGTCCATTGTAAAATGAGCATTATAAAAAATGTTGATTTAAATTAAAAACCTAATGCTGAAAACCTCTGCACTCTTACTTCATTGGGAATAAGACCTGTTGAACATAGTGGGCTTATTTTTAAGAATGCATAGGCACAGGCTGCACAAATTCATAACAATTGCTTAGAAACTTTGAGTTGGTTTTGACTTAAACCCCACACCATCAGAGGGGAAACAAGGATGCAGACTTTAATCATCTGCATATCTCAGTCATATTGAAAGAAGTAAATATGAGTTCTGGTTTTTATTGTTATTTGAGCTTTCCAGCCTCCATTTATTTCTCTACTGGCAGTTGGACTCCTGTGGCAAATGAGCGATCTTTGTGTGTCTCAGCAAGAGCATACTGTGCAATTAAGAAAAAGAAAAGTTTACAAAATAAATGAGGTTCTAACATTTGGCGTTCCTTGGCAGCCAACCCACAATAGATAAACGGAATGGATTGTCAGTTGGACAGTTTCCATGAGCCAGAGATTTCCCTCCCACCCCCAGGAATCTTTTACCAGGAAGAGGAAGAGAAAGAACACACTCTTTTGTGGGTTCTCCTGCCCCTTTTATTTTTTATATTTTATTTTAAATTTCCAGCATAAAGCTGTGATCACGTCAGTGAAATCAGCGTAAGATGTGATCTACCTGTATTCATAAGCAAAAGGTACTTCTAAAGTTTAATGTGGAAGATCAAATCTCTCCCCCCTCTAATATCAGACATGGGTTGGCCCAGTTACAGGTGTTCAGTGGTATTAATAGTTTCTGGGTTTCATAGCTAGGCCTGGCTCAAATTAAGTCATGTTTATAGCTCTCTTCTGAATTCCTGCTCTTTTGTCAGTTTCCCCTTTTAATTGTGGGAGTTGGGGGGTTCATGAAAAGCCATTAGTAGGCATGAATAATAGGAACAAATCAAAAGTAGTATTCCCTGCAAATCCTTCTGCACAGCCCAGTCCCAAGCCAACGTCAGACCCAGTTCAAGAAGAAGTGTCCCCGATGCAGAGAGCTTGAACTCTCCCTCTCTCTTGCGGCTCCTTTCTCCTGCTCCACATGATGAAAATTTACAAAGGTCCTCAGAAGAGAAAATAGTCCAAACAAGATGTTACTTTACTTGGATAACCTGATTAGCAACTACATCTGGGGCATTAAAAATTAAATACCACGGGTAGTCGGGTGGAAATGAAGGGTTTTAGCAAAACTGCAGCATGCAGGGAGGGGAGGTTCATTCTTCCCTCCCCAGCTCTGATTCCAATGAAAACTGCAACTGTACACGCAGCTAGTATTTCATTTTGGAGCCCCAGATGTGGCAAAGTGTTGTTACCTTTTCCCAGGTGGTACTGAAATGGGAATGAAAGCGGCAATAGGTGTGTTGGTGGGGGGCAAGTGGACATTTTTAATGGTTGGAGATGCTACTTAGTTTTTTAGCAGGTCTCTATAGGAAATAGGGGTTTTGATGAGACATTTGAAGGATGAGAGGGAGAGGCAACGTCACACAGGTGTTTTGGAGAGAGAGGCTCCAGTCTGAGAAGAGCAACAAAGGAGGAGTTATGAGTCTCTGCAGGAGTGGGAGGTTTCTGGTAGGCTAAAGGCCTGCTTTCACCTCGAGAGACTAGCTCTGCCTATCTAGAGGTGAACAGAAAAGGAAGGAACACAGAGAAAAGGTTGGGGGCTTCTCTCAGACGCAATCTTCACTAAATTAGAAAGCTCCTGGATGAATATAAATTAGAGTGATTTATCAGAGTGTTTCCTGGAAACCTGTTTTTCTTCTGTGCCAAGTTGTTATGAGAAGTGCAAACAGAACAAAAGCAATGGGTGGGGGGTGGGCGTATAGCAGCATAGCTTTATACCAACTTCATAAACACTTACACACAAAAAAGTTCCCAAGTCATCTAGCCTAAGTGTCCTATTTTTACTTCCATAGCCTCTGGAATCTCAGGAGGACTGAAAGGCTTAAACAGTTGAGCTGCTTTTCTGCCTAGGGAGAAAAAAAATTCAGTGCCATTGCTCCACCTTTAGCTGTATAGATAAATATCATAACTATTTATTTATAAAGTATTTGCCTTACTATGAGATCTGATCAGAGGCAGGTCATCTAAAGAGGACTGGTTGGGGGAGCTGCAAGGTTGCATGGCTAAACTCCTGGATTTTCAAAATGTGTGTCCCACTAAGCTGAATGGAGCCCAGCCCTGTTTGGCAGCTCTTCAGGGGCTTCCTAAGCCACCTGTGCTTGTTGCAGGCCTAGAGCTGCAGAAACTTGCAGACATCTGGCAAGCCACAAAATGTGGCTGGTGAGACGCTCAGCTTGATGGGTTACGCA